CTCTTAGGATTACCACTCCTATCTGTAATTGTTCCCAACTCCCGAAAGCGTTTTATGGTTGAATGTACCCCCTGCCTTGTCACGCTGAGACGTCTGTAGATGCACCGTGCCAAAAGTGCTTGTACATGCAAAGTGACGATTTATTCACGGGGTAATTACGCTTACATTATTTTCAAAATCTACCAAAAGTTTAGTATCATCAGGAAGGTAATAATGTAATCTACCTTGTGAAATAGAAGAAAGCGAACGAATTGCTATGACCTCAGAAAAAATTCGTTATGAGCGTCAGCGCGCGCTGTAATCATAATTTTGGCCCACCCTGTATTCGGTTCTCCTGGAAACTCCTCCACAACAATCAATCATCAATTAGCACTGGTGAAGCGAACAATCAGAAAAAGTTTTTTGAACGAGAAAATGTAAAATTCCTAAGAAAGGTGAAAATCATCCATGAGAGTGGATATCTAAGGAGCCGATGAATCGAGTGAACAATTTGCTTCTCAAAATGTGGACACTACAGAAAAGTTTGTGGTCCCGCTAAGGAGATCGGGTTATTTTCACGGTACGGTGACCTTAGTGTTCCGCTGATGACGTCCCAGTGTCTGGACGTTTTTGGCACCCATTTCGAACTCCCATTAGGTCATTCATTAATATTACACCGTTCGCTCTTATCTCAGTGACCACATCACCGCGCTACGCTCATCCTTGTGCAACGTAGTGCAAGTATTTATTACTCAGACACGACTCCAACTTACAAGGCCCACAATCTTTGAAGGAGTGACCCACTCTTCGTCGGAGGGCTTATTATTTTGGACTTATTATCTTGTTACTACTGTGGCCAAAATAGTTGAGTTCATTGGCTACTGCTCTTCAACGAGCTCCATCCATTCACAGCATGGACCACCTCAATCAACAGCTGTGAGAGGTGTTAATTATAGAGGTGGTAGCGATTTTGTTGGGCAAAGAAAGCGAAAACCTTGACTTTGGTACCCTCTTGACCGCCACTTGGCATAATAATTAGTCTCTATATCTGGACCCAATCATCTCGATCTTTGAAAGCAAGACAGGATCCATTCGGGAACCCCTAACTTAGAGTAGAGTCAAAATTACTGAGTAGCTCTTCTAGGTGTGGTTGATATTCTCACTTGAGAAGCTCTAAGCACCAGATTTTCGAGCTTAATCGGCATACAGTAACCGCGTTTCGGTTCTGAACCAAAAAAACACTTTCATGTGCTGATTATAAGTGCTATAGGACCTTGATAGTGTATCTTTAATGCTATTCTAAGCTCGTTCGATTTCTCCTTCATCTTGCTGTCAAGCAAACTCAATCTAAAAAACTTTTTTCCCGATGAATTCATGCCTCAACATCGTAGGGATCGTTCTTGTACCAATAAGTATTTCAAAAATATTCTTCAGGTGTCAGGCTACCGGAGCAGGATGCGTGATAGGTATTAAAAGTATTTGAGAACGAAAGAGTTACAGAGAGTAAATGGCCATTGGTCTAGGAAAGTTGCAACAGAAGAATCAGCCTTTTAAAGTTTGTTCCAAATTTTCATAGTTGAGTTATCCGTGACAGAGGAGCTGCTCGATGTCCACCTTTCTCTTCAACAGACTAAATGATGTGTTACTTCCATTCTGAGTAGTGTAAGAAGTCTTTCAAGTTGAATTTTCCTTCCAAATATTTTACTTATTTTCACGTAATTATAGTTGGTTACTTTTCTAATTAGTCCCAATGAACAATAATATCCTCAGTTTGGCTAGAATCAGTGTGAGCGAGTAACTCAAAACCTTGCCAGTTGAAGAAACAAATAGCATTACAACCCTGGAAAGCCGGTTGCGAGCTGTGGTCTTCCATTTGAATACAGCTTTATTACTATGAGCAGGATCCGTCCCATGAGCGGCGTCGAGTGTAGGAAGCCCCATTCACACAGGGTCACGAACTACCGTCTCACGTACTACAGTTGCCATTCAACAAGTCACAACGTAGTTCATCCATCAAAGAAATATCATCTCAACTGNCACCTGTCTGCCCGGTGATTGCCTAGTGTCTCAGTCAGGCGCCAGAATTGCCCGCAATTGTCCCTGACACGTGGCAAACCGGGACAGACGGCACTCAAGGGACTTGGAGAACTTTTAATTACACTTGAGTTCCATTGAGTTCTAACTGAGTCCTTCTGCACATTTTTTCGTCACTATCGGTCACTTGGTGGTAGTCGTTTCCAGAAATCCAGTCGTATAGAGCCTCTCTTTTCAAGGGTATTTCCTTGTTCAAAGACATGGATGTGAAATTGTTTTGCCAGGACTGTACCCTTGTAAATCGCTAATAGGTAGTTCGGAGATTTACGTCTGAAAAGGACCTTCTGTTCGTGGCAACGCTTCCATTGTTCAGGCCAATCAGTCCGATAGGTTGACTCCATCTTTACTGGATGGAACGTCAGTGTGTCAACAGTCGTGTGATGAGATGCAAAACAGCTCGTCACGTCTGTTGAGCCAATACTTTGACTATAGACAGGTTGGCATAGCCAAATTTCGTGCATAGTCTTTCAATTTTTGACTGGACGTTGATCCGAACTGTGCCGTAAAGGTGGATGGGGTGCGCTAGTGGTGAAGATTAAAGCTGCTTTACCCACTTGAAAGTTGAGGGAATTTCTCGCACATACAGTAGCGCTCAAAGGTCTTCGGCCAAACGCTCTTACGCTTTTTCGTTCACAACTTATTTTCTTAGTGGAGCAGATTGTGCGAATTGTGATATGTTTAGCTGAAGCATATTGCACACTATCCAACTTGACTTGACTGCAACGCCAATATCTACGTAACTAAGGGGAAGGTGTTTGTTGCAGTAGCAGACTTCGCTAAAAGCAAAGTTAGTGACGTCTGCAGTTATTCGCGCCTTATGTACGTTTTTCTCCTTCATTGTGTCCGGCATTAATGCTCGTACACTTTAGACTTAACAGAAAGGACAGGAATCCCAGAAGTACCATCATTCGTATTTCCAACCGATTCTGAGTTCATGCTCTTTGGGATCACCGGAACATGATCACGTTGCAGGACAAAAAGTGATAAATATTCGCAATACAGCCATGCTATACATATCGAAATTTCGCATGATTACATCCAATAAAAAAGGAGTTTCGACTGAAAAATAAGACTGAAGAAGCATTCGACCGAGGACTTCTGAGCGCTACTGTATGTAAACACTGCAACTCAGCCTCCTTTGTAAAAACGTAACTGAAACGAAGTAGGCGACAGAGATGGCTACTCTCATAGAGTAGATTATGTTCTCCGAGGTCCGAGGTTTTTTTTAGTTGAACTGGCTTTTTCGGACCTCACTAAACAGATAAGGTGTACACACTTGCATTTATTTTAGTTATGTGTGTAGTGGAAGCCTCACCGGGATTGAATCGTTACCCTTATCCCACGTTTTATTCCCTACGCCGTCGATTCATTCAGGATATTACTTTGAAGTCAACCTATTCGAAGAAGGAGAAACAGCAATATTTAGAGTTCAACAAGATGTTGTGAGGGTGATGATAACGAGGCAGTTGTAGACTTGTTCATGAGAGATCTTTTGTCAAAAGAGTACAGAGGGGGAGGCAGTGAAAAAAGTCTAGGGACAGTGCAGCTGCGGCGTGTATGTAGTGTTTTCTGAAGACTGTAATTGAAAATACTGTATTCTGAGATAGAAATCTTCATTCGCTACGAACTGGTTTATTGCACGACACCCACAGAGGGCGATATGAGCGGACGAGGGTCGTCCACGCGATGATGCAGCTGTATAGAGAGTAGGCGGCAGAGCGATGTTGTGGAGCAACCATACGAGGTACTTTGATAGGGAGGTACAGGATATGCACTGGTATGATTAGCGAACGGATTCACCTCGGTTGACCCTCGGCCGTACGCTTCCTGACAGTTTAGAACTTGCGATGGGGTCGTGCAGTGTAGAAGATGAATGCCGAGAGAGCAGTGGCCAGAAGAATTCCCAGCCCGATGAATGCGGCGAACGAAAGAGGGGACAAGCAAACAGTGGAATCGAAACGGTCGTTGCTGATGAGTGCCGCAGGTGAGAGAGCTCGAAGTGAAGATGGCAGCGAATCCTTAAAAAGCAAATTTTCCTCTGTAACAAAAAATCATGCAAATGCAAAAAAAGACTGATCAACTTACATTATCGGTGATTTCGATTGCCGAAATCTCAGCTCGGACATCCAGAATGGCCTCATTGTTAACTTGTCTCTTCTTCAGAAGTCTCAGTTGCGCTGCTCCTGCTACAGCTCCAGCAGCTCCTCTAGCAGCTCCAACAGCTCCGGCAGCTCCGGCGGCTCCAGCAGCTACGGCGACATCAGCTGCTCCTGCCTCAACTTTGGGTCCAGCTGCTCCACCAGCAGCTTTAGGAGTACCCTGCTTGACAGCTCCGAATCCAGTCGGCTCAGCGCACTGTGGGCGAGGACATTCACTTCCAGGATCCTGAAATTTCCACTTTAGACATCCAAAAAAAATTGTTCGCGAACTGCCGATACCTTGATTGAAATACTGATTTGGCATTNTTCCACTTTAGACATCCAAAAAAAATTGTTCGCGAACTGCCGATACCTTGATTGAAATACTGATTTGGCATTGGTAGAACAGTTGCGATCTGTAAGGTCAGAGTTGGATTTCGCATATCATTACGACGGATTATATGGAAATAATTTTCTTAAGTCTGGTTTAAGGCTAGGAACTAATCAGGGTTTGAGCAAATGATTTCAATTTAGCAACCTGTCAGCGTATTTGTAGACGTGAGCTTCTTGACCTGCCATCAGATCGCTGGGATACTCAAGATTGTTCAAAAGGAACTTATCAAGAGCGCAACCGTCCTCGTTCAAAATCTGTACCGTATCACCGTTACCGTCATCGACAGTGCAGGTGTGTACGACAGCGCAGAAGGTATCGGTGGTTTCAGAGTCACAAGTCCACTTGTGGTACACCTGAATGAAGGTCATCATAGTGGAAAAGACGATTTTGTGGTTGCCGTTTTCCAACCTGCTGGCCGATGGTTGCGAATTGAATAGGTTGCCCGGATGGTCCTCCATCGAGGATTTCGTAACGACATATAGGCATTGGCACAACCTGAGTTTGGAAGGCAGTTGTCAGATCGGAAACTTCGATCTGGGTGCTGACGGTCTTGTCGGACTCCATGTAGAAGCATTGAATTCTGTATGCCCTGTCGACTTTAGTCACGAATTGTGGATGAAACGAGATGACAACGGTGGTCGAGACGAAAACTCCGCGAGGATTGAGAGATCTGTAATTGGCGTGAACTTATGATTCGAAAATAAGACTTCCGAATTTAAAGCTTACCTGGTCCTCGCAGTATTACAAGAGTCGAATGGTAGCTCGATTCCGGCCACCTGCCGGCCACCTTCATCGTTTCGACACTCTTTCTGGTCACGATTTGGGTGCTGACGGTCTTGTCGGACTCCATGTAGAAGCATTGGATTCTGTACGCCCTGTCGACTTTAGTCACGAATTGTGGATGGAACGAGATGACAACGGTGGTCGAGACGAAAACTCCGCGAGGATTGAGAGATCTGTAATGGCGTAAACTTATGATTCGAAAGTAAGACTTCCGAAGTTAAAGCTCACCTGGTCCTCGCAGTATTACAAGAGTCGAAAGGTAGCTCGATTCCGGCCACCTGCCGGCCACCTTCATCGTTTCGACACTCTTTCTGGTCATAAAGACCTTTTACGTAAACGTGACCCTCAAATGGGTTTCTGGTGTTGAAGTTGACGGTTATAGCAGTGGGCCCACATTCCACTTCAGGTTCACCTTCTACTCCGTTGTCGACAGGGATGCAGTAAACAGCACCAACAAGCAAAGTGAAGATTATAAGCTTCATCTGCAAAATTGTAATTTCGGGGGGTTAACAAGTAATGGGTAATGAAGGAAAATTGGAACGGATCCTGTTCATCGCCGTGAATAAAGATTATTGAAATCAGGGAACAGCGACGTAAGTGCATCCTAGTGTAAACCATAAAACTGATGGCTTAGATAACTGACACTATGAGATGATCTCTAATCACATAAAGAATCTTCTAATTCCTTACTGGGTGTGGGATGAAGACGATCGGTGCTGTTTCCCGACCAATTGGTGGGCTTTATACTGAGAAAAGACAATAAATCATGTGCTGACTAGCTGGGCAAGAGTGGGTGAGAAAGTGGATGTGATGGTCTTCGTCAAGAGAGCGGGAGAGAGCCGGAGGAACTTTCTTTCAACACCAGCATTCCGCTCGCCAAATCCAGTCTAAGCAACTGGTAAGCGCCGATTTGTTAACGAGAAGAGCGGAGCGTAATGCGGTAATTCTGTAACATCTGACAATGGCGACGTTTAGCTGTCAGGCTAGATTACCGAGCGAATCCATAAACGGAAACTTCTCTTCTACGATCGTACTGGGTTCATAGCTACTTTTATTACGACTTTTGAGGATGCATTCAAAAGTAGAGGCTTTCTGGACAGATTTACACCCTTTTGTGCAGATTTTCCACTAACTGAGGAGTAGCCACTTTATCTCTTTTTTTCAGGTGATAGACATCACGAAGTCGTTGAAGAAGCATACAAGAGTTCCAGAAATGAGATCTCCAAGGTCATTTTAAATCGTCCAAGGCTATTTTGAAGATCAGTGGAAAAAGTTTGTTGCAAAGCTTGAAAGAGTTTAAAAAAAAGAAATCACAGAGCATCGAACGTAGTCTTAGATCTACCGCTTAACACAATCTCGATGTGGACAATGCTAACATCATTTAAGTCTTAGATCTCTTGTTTTGAGTTTTCCTCGACATAGACGAAGAAACTAAGTGTACTTGAATGAATTCTATCCTGGCCTAGCATGACATACCCGAGACTGGAAAATCACGCATCCCTGCATCGTTTGCAACAGCGAAAGAACCATTTTAAAGAAACGATCCACTAGTTGGAGTTCAACCCAACCAAGCGATTTAGAATGGACAATGTCCTTTTAATGGCAGATAAACTTGCTGGCTTACAAACCGTTCAAGCATGGTATAGGATGTGTGTACTGTAGCGCTCAAAAGTTTTCGGTGAAATGCCTTGACGCTTTTTCGTTCATAACTTTTTTCTTTGTAGACCAAATCGCACGAAATTCGGATATGTTCAACTAGAGCATATTTCACCCTACCCAACACTATTCGACTGCGAAGCTGCAATATCCACAGATAGAGCAAGGTGTTTGCTGCGGTAGCAGATTTTGCTAGAACCAAAGTTGTTATCGTCTGCACTTATTCGCACCTTATGTGTGTTTTTCTCATCTATTGTGTTCGACGTTACTTCTCGTACACTTTGGACATGACAAAAAGGAAAGAGATTCTAGAAGGACCATCATCTATATTTCCAGTCGATTTTGAGTTCATGCTCTTTGGAATATCTGGAACATGATCAGATTGCAGGTTGATAGTGGTAAATATTCATAATACACCCACGCTTCAAATATAGAAATTACGCATGATTAGGTCCAGTAGGAAAGGAGTTACTTCTGGAAAGTACGGCTGAAGAACCATTTCACGAAGACTTTTAAGCGCTACTGTAAATGTGTGATAGGGCAACAAGTACTCTAATATGTACCAGTTTTGATTGATTACGCATACACCTTCAAGGCCTTTGTTATGTAGGAAAATTACCATCCACAAAAATTAGGTGAGTAACTGCGTAGCTGAGCAATTTTCTAAGTGACTCCAAACATTAATGAAGATAATTAACTGTTTCCAAAGCACTTTGGTTGCATGGTACTCCATAGTGAACATGTAGCTGAATAAATACGTTGTTATCTGTGAAAAATAGTTATTTTTTAAAATATACTTTATTACTTAATTGCAATTTTCAGAAATGAAATGGAATGGGATCTTTTTGTCAGTCATTGTCAACCTAACCAGCGAAATTTTTGAACATTTGCAACATATGCGAGGAAAAAGAAGTAGGTTTCTTCCCTCAGATTTCTGTTCGATGCTAATCTTGTGCCACTTCACTAATTGCCTTAATTTTATTGCAGCTAACCGTAAGTATACTATCCGCGGAGATCCAGAACACGTTTCAGCAGTAACTAGAAAAGTAATGACGCCAACTTGTCTCGCCAGTTATGGATCATTCGCGCCTATCTTCGTTACAACCCATCTGAACATTTAATCATTAAAAGGGTCAAATGACCCACTGAAGTACTGAATATTTCAAGACGATTGCAATGAAGGGTAAAGATATTAAATGTTTTGCCGTTGTTGTTGATCGAAATGAAGTTTGTCAGAAGGGCCGGAAAACGATCAAATCCGTTCATCTGAAGGAGCTCTGCACAATAGCAAAATTTAAGTGCACAGACTTCGATGAGAATCGTTTCCGAGATACTCTACTCAGTCGACTCTATGGTCCCCATGGATGTTGTGAGGAGCGCTGCAGGATCGAAAAAGGTATGGATAGGGCGCAACAAGGGCTTGAAGATGGTCAGAGCAAGTGACTACGCATAGAAGCGGCCACTTTTCAGTGGTCCTGTAGGGACTGCATTATTTTCAATGAAGCACACACTCAAAATAGCTGAGAGCTGTTTGAAGCTACAACAAGTTTGCGCCATTGTGAACTTCACTCCGTGATGGTCACAGTTCGCCAAGATTCTAAGAGCCGTTTCTGGGTGAAAAAAATGTAGGTGTTAACGCAGAGTGTACCATCAATGATGTAAGAAACGAGAAATCCTGCACAGTTCACGATACAGAAAACTTCTCAAAAGTAGTTACTTTACATGGTAAACAAGGATTCGGCGACAAAACGAGTGTTTGGACGACATTTCAATTCTGGCAACCACGGAAAGACTTGGCTACAGCACCTTCGCTGCCAGGAATGCTTCCCTTTTTCGTCATGGATCACGACTGCTTTCATTAATGATACAATGCCAACGTATTCCGCTAATCAACAAGCGCTGAAGGACTAAATGATTTCTTAGCACCAAAAATGCTTTTTTCCTCGTTCCAGCTCGCATATTCTGATTTCATTTCGAAATGCAACGCCTATAGACAGTTTATTAACTTCCGCAATACTGATCGTCGACGGGCGTAAGCCATCTGAGCAGTAACAGTAGCTATTCCAATTCTCAGTTGGCGTATGCATGATCATGAGTAATATTTTTACTGTGGTATCCTATCCAGCCTAGAAATATGAGTTCGCTCATTGGAGATGCCTTACATATTATCAAGCTTCACGACAAACCACATATCTCTCTGTGTCTAAGCGTAGCAACGAATTAGTAAGCACTCATTGTCACGCTGATGCACCCACTCGTAGGTAGTCGGTAGCTGATGAAAGGCATTATGGGTGCGTGATAAATCTCAGAGAATGAAGGATAAAGTTTTTGGCGTTAATCAATCCAGTCTGAGGGATGCGCCCCCGCACTCGACTTCCATTCAGAATC